TACTGAATTTCTTTATTTGCGTAAAATAAAAATACTGCCTTATGAAGTGGTAAGAATTACATAAGGTGTAAGGTGTTTCACATATAACTTAGTACGTTTTAAGCACTTAATAAATAAGAGTATAATTTAATAACAGAAGTATACCCTTAAGGAGCTTACAGGCTTAGAAGAGGGAGTCATTTTCAATTGAGGGTCAGCAGAAAGAGTAATACTGGAAGTCATCTAAAAGTCACCTCTCTGACTGGGAGACATACAGGAATACTAACTAAATTTGCTAGAAAAGTGGAGGCATTCCCTTCTTCAGACAGCAGAGGATCCTCTTCCCTAGGATAGATTTTATGTGGAAAAAGAAACTCCAAACCAGGGCTATGCCTAGTTGGTCTATGTACTTTGCACTTCAAGAGATGTTGTGAGCCCTCCTTGGACAGCCAGCCACCAGAGGCAGGGAGGGAGTTATGTGCGGACTTATGGGGTACACCTCCAGTTGTGTCAGTGCCATTGGTGTAATAAATTTGTAATGGTGGTGGGAAAAAAAAGAAAGATGTTATGTAAACAGAATATACCATTTTTAAAATGTTTCTAGGAGAAACCTGTCAATAGCTATTCATGTTCCTAAAAGCCTAGATTTCAAATACAATTTTTTATTCAAAATATGACCTCCCCCCTTTCTTCATTTTGAAGCCCTCTTGTACATTCTGTCAGTTAGGGTCCAGTCAAGACACATAGAGATTATACAGTAATTTGAACAGGGGATATAGCAGAGGAATGGAATGACGACGGATTGGCTAGTCCAGGGTAGAGAATTCTAAGAACATTAGGCGTACTAGGTATGTTGTATGTGTGTGTAAAATACATAAAATATAGTCACACTGATCGGACCCTGCTCCCTCCTGGTTGAGACCCAGACTTCGTTGAGGAGGCTTGGCTGGCTCCGTGAGGGCCAAGCAGCTCTTGAGGTGCCCTACCTCAAAGCGACTTGTTGGCAAGCTGCTCTTTCGAAGTTGCTGAGAGGAACACACTGTTCAGGGGTCTCTACCTAATATTGTACGAACTGGGAAAAGATGACCAGGTTTTAGGTCCATCATCACACAGTAGTTAAGTAGTAGAGGGTGGAATTGGAGCTAACAGGCAATAAAGTGAGAACTGGAACATACATTTGGTACTTAATATGTGCACATAAATACTAATTTTGCAATCTTTTATAGGCTCTTGAACTAGATCCAGCAAATACTAAGGCACTGTACCGCAGAGCTCAAGGGTGGCAAGGATTAAAAGAATACGATCAAGCACTGGTAAAATTTTGTTCTAAATGCTGAATTCTTAAAAATGGTTCTTCATAAATCATAAATAATTCTGAAAACACTTTTCTCCTCCAATTAAAAGGCTGATCTCAAGAAAGCTCAGGGGATAGCACCTGAAGATAAAGGTAAGTTGACAGTGTTTAAAGTGAGTTCGTTTGATCTTTTAAGAATTTATCCGGGGAGGAGATGAGCCAGTCAGGGTGCGATGCAACAATGATGAGAAATACAACCTTCCTCTAGTTCCTAAAGGTTTCCTCCCCGCTCCCACTATCATGACTCGAATTCTATCTTGCAAGTCTGGCTAGACCAGAGGAGGTACACTGGTACAGATAGGAACTGAAAATACAGGGAATCCAGGACGGATGAGCCCTATAGGACCAGTGGTGTGAGTGGCAAAACAGGGAGGGTAAAGGGAGAATGGGTAGGGAAGAGGGAACCGATTACATGGAACTGTGTGTGACCTCCTCCCTGGGGGACAGACAACCAAAAAGTGGATGAAGGGAGACGTCGGACAGGGCAGGATATGACAAAATACCCATTTATAAACTATCAAGGGCTCATGCGGGAGGGGGGAGCGGGGAGGGAGGGGAAAAATGAGGACCTAATGTCGGGGGTTTAAATGGAGAGAAAATGTTTTGAGAAACGATGTACAAATGCGCTTTACACAATTGATGTGTGTTTGGATTGGGATAACAGTTGTATGAGCCCCTAATAAAATGTTAAAAAAAAAAAAAAAGAAAGAAACAAATGGGGCTACCATGAGTCAGAACTGGCTCCACAGCTACTGTTTCCTTGCTGTGGTAGTGGTGGTGGTTTCTGCGTATATTGTCAGGAAAAAGGAAAATATTTATATAAAAAAACAAGAAAAGATAAACTTGTTATTACTACCAACTTTTGCAGATATAAAAGCCCAAGTTGAAGGAAATTTGTAAACATAATTAGTCTATAGATATATCCTGTAACTTTAAGACAAAACTTGCCAGAAATTGAATTGTTAAACTCTCAAAGATGATAAAGCAAGAAAACTAGGCGAGGGGGAAAGCCCAAAATACTAAAGTATAATTCTCTGTGAGGATTGACAAAGTAGAAAATAAACCTTATTTTATGACAACAAAAAAAAGAATTTATCCAGGGCAAGATATGACAAAATACCCATTTATAAACTATCAAGGGCTCATGAGGGAGGAGGGAGTGGGGAGGGAGGGGAAAAATGAGGACCTAATGCCGGGGGCTTAAGTGGAGAGGAAATGTTTTGAGAATGATGAGGGCAATGAATGTACAAGTGCGCTTTACACAATTGATGTGTGTATGGCTTGTGATAAGAGTTGTATGAGCCCCTAATAAAATGATTTAAAAAGAAAAAAAATGTACACTTACCTTTTATATAAAACTCTCATAAAAAAAAAAGAATTTATCCACAAGAGTCATTGTATCCATCCATTATATCAAGTACAGGTGTACATTTGTTGCTTTGGCACTTAAACTTTATTGTGAAACATATATCACAGAGGGCATGCAGTAGTGAAAAGGAGAGTTAAATTTTTTGCCTGGAAGCTCTAATTCTTTTCCAGAATGTAGTAATTTTTCTTAAATCCAATCACTATTTGTTCCATCGCATTATTTGAGATCTGGTTATATTTGTTATAATTCTAGTTGAAAACTCAGCACTGAGAGAGTATTCTTCTTTTTAATCATTTTATTGGGCGCTTGTACAACTCTAAACACAATCCATACATCCATCCATTGTATCAAGCACATTTGTATATTTGTTGCCGCCATCATTTTCAAAACATTTTCTTTCTACTTCAGCCCTTGGTATCAGCATTTTCCCCTCCCTCCCCAGCCTTCCCTCCCTTATGAACCCTTGATAATTTATAAATTATTATTTTTCCATATCTTGTACTGACGGATGTCTCCCGTCACCCACTTTTCTGTTGTCTGACCCCTGGGAGGGGGTTATAGACAGATCATTGTGATAGCTTCCCTGAGCGTATTCTTAATGTATTTAGGGCTTATTCCTTTGGCTGAATGACTTAAGGAGGAATCTACAGCAGAATTTAACCTTTAATTCTAACCTAGCATCCTAAAGACCAAAGGACACATATTTAAGGAATAACTGTAGACAGCTATGACAAAAATAAACCTCAATTTTCAATCAAGCCAACTGTTAATAGTGGCTCTGAATCTAGGTATTAAAAATTACCTTTGGTCAAAAAAAAAAAATTTACCTTTGGTCTTTTATGGCAACAGTTAAAGGAGAGACACTTTCTGCCCTATTTAGGGGAGCAGAATAAGACACATCTATATAATTGAGTTCTGTCACTTGATAGTCTTCTGAAATTAATATTTGTGATCTTTGTGTGTATAAAAGCGATTGTCTTTTTTCTATACTTTTTTGTTCATTGAACTCCATTACTTTATGGGAGAGGAACTTGGGAGTTACAATATTAAAATATAAACTAGTTTTAAAAAATATTCTGAAAAATAACCTTTTTATTTTACAGCTATCCAGGCCGAATTGCTGAAAGTCAAGCAAAAGATAAAGGCACAGAAAGACAAGGAGAAGGCAGCTTATGCAAAAATGTTCGCTTAATAAAAAATTGAATTTTGCTTAAATATTATGCATTGGCTGTATAAAGGCAGTAAGATTTAAGGGTGTTTTACTAATGTGTCCATAACATGTTTCTTTTTATGCTTTAGTTTCCCATTGTTTATTTTTTAGGAATACTTATTGATAAGGCCTCTTAATAAAAATTGTCACAAAGTCATTGTAAAGTTGATTTCTACAAAGAATGGTAAAGACACACACAGCCTTGTATAAAAGCTTACCTTTTTATATTCAGCGAAACCTCTGAGTGTAGGAATTCCATGGAATACCATGTTTTTCTTTGTCCTGCAAGTTTTCTGTCTCTAGAAGGATGTAGTTGCCACTTTTCTATTGCTGCATTTAGTGGAAAATGCTATTTTTTAAACATGTCTGTGAATAACACACATGAATGTCCAGATAACCACACGGTATCCATAGGAAATTAACATGAAGGCTTTGCAAACTTATAAAATGGGGCACAGCTTTTGTGAAATGTTTAAGTATTTTTCGTTTCTTTGACAAACCTATGCCTTACATAGGTTTGTGCTTTTGTAGACTTTATTGTCCGCCCCCCACCCCCAAACCTATGACACATCTCTGTGCTGTTTTATACTTAATGACAATACAAATACCTATCCATAAATTGTCTCAATGGCTGGCAAACTTTTGAGATGGAGCAGTCGGTATTGGCCCTCACAACAACTTAAAATTTCAGGAGTCACCATTATCTGGGTAATATCCTTTAAAATTTTTCTTCAGAGCAGTATGAATGTACCGAAAGAGCCAGAAGTGGTTCTAGAGCTGCAGTTTGTCGACCCCTGGTCTAGAATGTGGGTTGACAGACAATGTGCAGGACTGAAATATTTTGAGTTTTTTGTGGACCATTGGAAATTATAGATTCTGCAGTTGTAGTTTAAAATGGCCATAGGCAATCTGTAAACCTATGAGCACAGCTGTGTTTTAGTAAAATTTTAGTTATAAGAGTGTGGGCTATATGCTGATACTCTTCTAGAATTATATAAGTTTATGTTAGCACGTCAACTGTATATTACATCAATAATACCTTTTACTGTTGGGCCTAATCTGAACTAGCACCATAAAGATTCAAAAAATAGACTTTAAAACATTCATTTTATTAGGGGCTCTTCCAAATCTTTAAGAACACTTGTACATAGCAACATATCCAAAACAATTTCTACGTGAGCCCTTGTTATCAGCTCCTTTTTAAAACCAAAAAATGTGGGACAGTCTTTAGTACAAAACTTTGTTTCACTGATTTATTTTTTAAATATCCTAATTAAGACCCTCTGATACTTGGGAGCCTTTAAATATTGAAATTAATCTGTCATTTTAAAGAACATACTTTGAAATGTAATTCCAAATGATCGTGGTTGTAATTTACATTCCATTGTAAGCAGGTCCTCCTCCACCTTCGGGAACCACCCAGTTAATATTCTGACTTGGATCTTTAATGTCACATGTTTTACAGTGCACACAGTTCTGAGCATTGATCTGTAACCGAAATCCATCACCCTTTTCCAAAGGAACAAATTCATAAACTCCTGTAAAGTAAAAAGCACATTGAAGTTCCTAATTTAAAATGACAAATTATGGTCCCAGAATGGTAGTTAAAGAAACAAAATGTTTTCTGAATGTTTATCCATAGAAAATAACATTATCTTGGCTTGGTGTAAATTGTTGCTATTAATATGTCACGCATAATAGCAGGAATAATAGTATTTGGCTGAGTTGGTCTTATTAACAAGATCCCACTAGTTTTTTCTTTTAATCATTTTTTTTAGGGGCTCATACAACTCATCACAATTCATAAATATATCAATTGTGTATAGCACATTTGTACATTCATTGCCCTCATCATTCTCAAAACATTTCCTCTCCACTTAAGCCCCCGGCATTAGGTCCTCATTTTTCCCCTTCCTCCCAGCTTCCCCCTCCCTCATGAGCCCTTGATAATTTACAAATTGTTATTTTGTCATATCTTGCACTGTCCAACCCACTAGTCTTTGTGTTTCAATTAAATATATAATGTTTAAAAGATGTAAATGTTTGGGACTCAATGACCCTGTGTACAACTTTTATCAAACACTTCAAACGCCACCATCCTTATTGCATGTTTGAGCCCATCTGCAACCAGTCAGTTCATCTTGAGAGCCTTTACACTGATTCTCTGCTTTACACATACATAGCTCTCGGAAATACTCCATTATCTTTTCATTGCTTTTTCCACTAACTTTTTGAAGGGCCCTGATGTATATGAATATATAAAACAATCAGATCCAGTTCTTTAGTCTCACAAGGGCATAATCCATTGTGATGACATAACTTAAAATATAAGTCACACATTCTTCAGTGTTCATAAGACTTCCGTTATTCTAAGGGTATGTGGAAAATCATTTGGAGAATTGTCATCACCATTGTTTTGGCACTGCTAGTTTGGCTCTGTTACTGTCAGATATGCATTGGACCTGGACCATCTATTGCGAGATTGAGGGTTGAAACCCACCAGCCACTTGAAGGGAGAAAGGTCAGGCTGTCCAGTCCCAGAGGTTGTACAGCCCTGGGAAGCCTGGTTGGCTTGCAGGAGGTGGGATCCATTCCAATTCAGTGGTTTTGGTTTTTTTAATTGAGTAAGACTATAAATAAGCTTCCTTAAAGCAAGCTGGATCTATGGATCATTTAGAACTTAAAAATGAGAACAGTATAGAAAACATCTTTCTACAACCACATTTAAAAAAAATACAGATTATAACTACTGACCTGCAGGGCAGAATCGCTGCTCAGGGCCATCGTAGATCAACAGATTTTTATTTACAGGTACACTGTCATCCTTCAGGGTTAAATGGGCTGGCTGGTCATGTTCATGATTAGTACCACTCAGAGCCACAGATGATAAGAGGTCAAAACTGATCTGTCCATCAGGTTTTGGATACTCAATAGGTGTGCAATCCTTGGCTGGCTTTAGCTGATTGGCGTCCAAACCTTGTACAGTTTAAGGAAGTTATTTAATATGAGAGAAGACACTAATTTTAAAGTACTTCTTAAAATATAAATACTTGAAAGTTAAATTTAAGTGCTATGGCTTTAATCATAATTACAATAAGAGACTACAATATTTTTATAGGGATTTTTTACAAAAGATTTAAAACAATTACACTTTTCCATTCATGAATTTTAATAATTCCTAAAAGACAGCTATCAAATACATTTAAATTACCTTTATGTTGTAGAGTCCATGGCTCCATCCCTCGAAGTATCCAATAAAATATTCCAGTGTACATCATCCCTCCGTATAAGCCCAAGACTCCATGACAAGAAGGTCTTATATTTCTGACAGAATAGAGTTCTCTCCATACCCATGATTTCTTCAGATTCTCCTCATACTCACTTATGTGGAGTCCTTTATGCAAAACATGGTTTGTTAAGTGTGGAATGACTTCAGAAGGTGGAAATACTTGAGTGTTGTCTGAACAAACCTTAAGCTTTATACATACCTGTGTTTTTATTCTACATAAAACGGATGCTAAGTCTGAATAAGGAGTCCTTGAGTGGTGAAAACAGTTCATTGCTTTCCTGATGGCATTTTGAGCCTAGTCTTAGGAAGACAGGCTGGTGAGACTTCTGACAGGGGGCAGAGTACTCTGAAGCGGTTGTGTCCATACAATATCCACCCCATGGAAACTAACACCACTGCATATTCCCATAGCATCTTTTCAAATGCCTTGATGAAGAAACAACATGTTTTCCCCTCTATTTAAAAGAAAGTACTTACCTTTTGTTTTTGATTGAAGATTGTCATTAGTTACTTCCTTAAAAGTGGATTCAGCTGCCAACATTCCACTTTTCATTGCTGTGTGGGTACCTTTGATCTTGGGAACATTCATGAAACCAGGACTACAACCAATTAGTAAACCACCAGGGAAGGCCAGTTTTGGTATAGACTGAGGAAAAAAGGATCCAAAGTACAGTTGTTAGCTGAAAATAAACCTGTAAACTTTCTTCTGACATTATAGGGGAAGTTGGATGAGCATACATGGAACTAAAGGGAAAACAAGAGGAAGAACTTTGTTTTCTAAATAGAACAGTTATTTCCCCCTAAGACTGAGGAAAGACTGAAGTTGTCAATACTTTCCTTTTGCTTGGATTCAAATTCATTGCTCATGGATGCAGCAGTCAAGAAATCAAGTGGCAGTGCATTGGGCAAATCTGTACAAGACCTCTTTAAAGAAGAGCAAGCATGTCACTTGGAAGACTAAAGTGGGTGTGACCCAAGCCGCAGTATTTCTCATTCACCTCATGTGCCTGTGAAAGTGGACAGTGAATACTGAATATCGAAATTACAGAATATTGAAAATACGGACTTCCACAAAAAGATATAAATTCATCTTGGAAGTATAGCCAGAATGCTCCTTAGAAGTGAGATGACAAAACTTCATCTCGTGTACTTAGGACATGTTATCAGGAGATAGTCCCTGTTAAAGCATATCATGTTTGGTAGAGAGGGTCAGTGTAAAAGAGAAAGGCTGTCAAAGATAGACTAATATAGTGGCTATAGCACGAAGCTCAAACCGGGCCAGCCACTGTTGCTTTCTGTTGTACATAAGGTCACTGTACAGAACCAGCTTGATGGCAACCAACAGTAGGAAAGAGTGAATTAGGGACTACTACTTTGTAGCAAATGAATTATGACTAATGAGAAGTGATTCTACAACAGAAGTGAGGGAAAGTGTTATTTCAAGAATCTAGTGAATATATATTTTATTAATTATTGAATTATTTTATGGTGTTATAGGTTATTAGGACAGTCATAATGCACTTAGCATTTTAAAGGGTATCTGATATTTTTCTAAGAGATGTTTAAATCAAGCAATCCAATTTTCAAGTTAGCCCCATAGTCTTTGAATTTCAATACAGAAAAGACATTTTTATTTTATACAGATGATCTCTTAAGGTAAAACAGATTAGGCAGCTTGCTCCAAATCATTTAGTCTAAGTTTTAGTACCAACATTTAAAGATCCACATCTTTCCTGTCTATTCCTAGTCACAACAATACTACCAGCTTTTAACATAGTTATCTAGATCTTGCTTCTTGTTAGAAGTCTGGGGTTGTAGTGATTGGTGGGTTGCTCTCTGCAAAGTCAGCAGTTTGAAACCACCAGGTGTTGAAAGGGAAAAAGACACGTCTTTCTACTCCCATAAAGAATTATTAGTCTCGGAGGAGAGTTACGATGGCACCCAGGTAGAATCACCCACCCAGTCCTCCTGTTGTTAGATCAGAAAATTATAAGGTAAGGAGGCCAATATTGGGAGGCTGGGTGCTAAAAATAGATTCAGTGTACTGGGATCTGGTTCAGACCACCCTCCCCACCCAACCCTGTGATTTACAGCCACACAGCGATTTGAAAACTTGCTGAAATGCTCTAAGTTCACAGTGTCCGCCGAGGGCTATGCTAATCCCTCACCAGGTCCAGCAGGGCAGCATCTCCTACCCCTTCCTACACTCAAGATCCCAGACCCACAGCGAACAGTAATTTCCCCTGGCTGCTGTGTAAAGGTGGTCATAATCCCAGGCTTGTGTGGAGCCTCTGAGAACTTGCCACAAGACCTCACACCATAGTTACCCACCCTGCTGCTGCATTCTCTCTTGGGCTTTGTATCCTCCCTCCTCAGGCAGCAATAGAGTGACTACATCGGCCATCCCCTTTTCCACTCTCCCCAGCTGTGTGTGAGCATGGCTAAGGATATATAATTAGACACTAATTTTCAGCAACTGAAGAGCCCCTGGGATATTTGCCTGTGACAGAAGACAGAATCCCTGCAGCACAGCCTCCACAGCTGTGCAGGAGTGACTCATGAGTGCAGCCAGGGGAGAATTCAGATCTAGTCAGTCCCAAACACACTCAGCTGATCTGGGTCCCCCTTCCCTGGGGACATCATGACACAGTCCAGTACCAGGGTCCCTCACAAGCCATTATAAAAATTAAAAAACAAATGCTTACAATTTCAGGTTGTGTTCCTTTGTGTGACTTTGAATGTAAGCCTCCAGAAACCTGGTCTTGGTTCATTAGCATAATATTAACATAACAAGTGGCACCGGACTCTTAATTCCCAAAGCACAGAGGATTTTAACACAGCAAAACAGGAAAAGTCAGGGGCTGAAAGCCGCAGCCCAAGCCAAAAACTGGCACTACCAGTTTTGGGTACAACAGAATCTTTAAAAGACTGAAAATTGTGGCCAGACAGTCCAGACCAGGCCTGTTCCCATGCTGCGGCCCGCCCCAACCCTTCCCAGCAGCATATGTACAGTTGCTGGCCTCAGTCCACCCTCCAGGTCCCAATCCTCGCCGGCCACTGAGTCACCATCGCCGCGGCACCTGGCCTACACAGGAGCCTAACCTAACACCATAGTAGTGGGTCACAGGAAGTCCCTGAAATCATTCTTACCAGTCACACAGAGGAAGAGCTCAGGGCCCCTCAGTCTCCTTGAAATAGAGCACCCAGTCCTTCCAAAATGAAATGCAGACAGCAACATACCTCAACAGTTTCAACAAGAAAACCAGAAAAGCAAAATGCAACAGCAAAAGTTCTAAACTTCAAAACACTCATAGAAGAAACAGACATTGAAATGCAACGAAAAGAAATCTTCAGAATAATACTTGGAGTACAGGACATGAGGGAAGAAAGGCAGAGTAAGGACGCAATAACAGAATAAGGACGCAATAACTATCTCCAGGACCGGGAGATAGTTATAAAGGTCAGCAGACAGACTTGGAACTATGCATGCTTTTTTGGGGGGATTTTGCTAGTTTTTTTCCTCTTTTTATTCAATCTTTTGTTTTGTCTCTGTTATTGTTCTTTTGCCTAACTATATAAGATAGGCATGGGAAGCAAGCCTGAGTAGTAAGCAATGGGACCGATGGTTCAGGAGGGACTTCAGGGTAGGAGCTGAGGAAGGGGGAGCTGATGCACTGATTGACCTATAACCCACCCTGCTCCCCCACCCCACCCCTATGGGGACAAACAACAGAAACGTGGGTGAAGGGAAACAGTAGTTGTTGTAAAATATGAAAATAATATTAATTTATCATTTATCAAGGGGTCATGAGGGTGGGAGGCAGGGAGGAAGGGACAAAGGGGAGTTGATGCCAAGGACTCTGTTTAGAAAATGATAATGGCAACATGTGTACAAAATAGGAAAGAAAGAAAAAATAGTTAAAAAAAAGGAATTAATAGACTCAAAACCCCACAGGGGGCAGTTCTGCCTTGTGCTATAAGGTCCTTATGAATTGGAATTAACTTTATGACAGTGAATTTGGGGTTTTTTTGGTATTGCTCATTTAATTGGTACTAACAGACTAATTGGTGAGATTTTAAACATATGAGGGGGAACCCCCCCAAACTGGAATGTTTCTCAAAGCTATGTATTTACATTTTTTTTACAAAAAAATCCTTCAAAGTAGTCTCCATTATACTTATATATTTTTGAAATCTGTGATTCCATTCTTGGAAACATTTTCATCTGTTTGGATGGCTGACAGCACCTCCCTTGTTTGTTTTTTCACTTCTTCTACGTTGCTGTTCTTTCATGTCCCTCTTCATTCACGGAAACAAAAAGAAGTTGCAAGGAGTGAGGTTGGGTGAGTAAGGTGTGTGGGGCAAGAGAGGCAGACGGTTTTTTTGCCCAAAACTGGTGCACTGAGATGGCTGCATGAACAGATCGTGGATACAAAACCAGTCCTCCGTCTGCTACGAATTAGGCCTTTTTTGCCGCACCCTGTTATGCTATCTTTCCAGAACCTCTAAGTAGAAAGCTTGATTATCAGTCTGACCAGGTGCAAGGAACTTGAAATACACTATGAGTTGACATTTTTGTCTGTTCGGGAAGTTGATGGACGTTCCAGAATGATTTGTCATCAAATGACATTTCACCTTTTTTGAAACTTGTGGTTACTTGTCCACTTGAGTTTTTCCCATAGTACTCTCCTTGTAAGCTGTGTTCAACATCACAACAGTTTCTGTGAGATTTTGCCCGAGGAGGAAACAAAACACTGTTCTCTTAAATCAGCCATCACAAAAAACTGTGGTAAACTGAGGACTTGGTAGAAAAGCATTTGACCTTATTTCTATGCTTGCAACCACAGCATAGAAAACTAGTCCTGTTTTGAGAAAGATCTCCATTATTCTGAGACAGAAATGTTGCCACAGAGAAAGTTTCTAGGCTGCATATTGGGCCCCCTGCAATAGCCCTCCACTAAGGAACAGTCTTAAAGGAGCTATGATAATAGATGGATCATTTCTGTGTCTGGCTATTTCACGATACTTGAAGGTTAATCTGTAGGTAAAAGCCATCAGGTTCTATAACCAACCCATAGTAAAATGTAGCAAACTCTGTTTTGACCTACTGATCAGAGCTTACTATCCCTGCGGAGGGCTCAGGGGGGTCGAGGTCAACTAGCAGTAGATCAAGACGCTCACTCACCTCATTGACTGTTTGTTACATTGCCTGTGGATTATGTTATACATTAACTGTCTGACGTGCATGCTGTATGAAAGATCTGTGTAAAGCCCATTATACACACCCACTGGAAAATACATTCACTCCCTCAGTCCTGACACGGGATGAGGAGCTCCTGTGCTCCCTGATCTGTCTTCACAATCGACAAGTCGCTCCTGATGACCTGTTCGAGTGTTGGGGACCCCTGCACCCCAACAAAAAGTGAGGTCAAACGAAACTGCTTTTACAAAAAAATTCACTGTGATCAGAGAGAACCTTCCCAGGCGACACCACTGGGTGCACTAACTCAGAGCGAATTGCTCCATGCTTGCCTAGAGGGAAAAATGCGTACTAGGAAATCTCTGCCCAGCAGAGCTTTCTCAGCGTTTTTTTGGGGTGCCCCTGAAATAAGCATTTAAGGGTAAAAGCTTAACAGAGGCCACTTAAAACATACATATTACTAGGCACTTGGGATTAATTATCTCTGCTGAAATGAAATTTGTCTTCCAAGTTTCCTGATAGCTAAGCAATAAAGGAAAATACCTTAGGTCACATAGTTTTTATTGTTTTGTTAAAACCAACAAACCGATAAAAAGGACCAAGCATTTATCTCTAGAAACTAATATATTCTTAAAACTAAACTTATGGTATAATTTATTTAATCGGTCATTGTGTAACATGTAGCCATATGTCTTAAATTTTACAGACTTGAAACATTCAAGTAAACTTGTGCTGCTTAAGGAGTCTCATAAAGCTAGACAAGTATTTAAAATAGTTCTATAAACACTAGTTGCTCTTCTTAATTCCTTAAATTCTTTTCCTATGAGATAATTTTCATTCTTTAACTTTTACATTATATTTTCCAATGCTGAATTAATAATATAGAAAAAATGGAAAGAGTTACCTGAAAACCACCTTCATTGAGAGCTCTGGCTCCATAGGCAATTCTTTTTCCACCTTCCAATGTTGGCTGAATGCTGGGATGGTGTTTCCACCTCTGGAATTCTCTAAATGGGCTCAGGTATGGATTTTGATAGTCCAGACCAACCTTCAAAATTTTATATTTAAATATATTTTTATTTCAAATTAAATTAAGCTAAGATATAAACAAATGGAAAATAATAAGTCTACTGACTTATCAATTACCTCATTATCTGACATTTTGCATTTTTAACTGGACTAAAAAAATCTGATTATTTTTTGTATTAAACATTTTGTGCATTAAACACCATACATCTAGCAGGGACGGGTGCCAAAGTGTAAGAAGAGAGTAATGCTGACTGGGATGGTTAAAGTTAGGTCTCAACTTGGCTGGACCATGATTCTCAGTAGTTTAGCAGTTACACATGATGCAATTTGGCATGTATATTATGATGTAATCATCCTCCAATTTGTAACTTGATGTGGTCATCCTCCATTTTCACATGATACTGGTTTTTCACATAATGACTAGTCTTTTTGTAACCTAGCCATGCGTGTAAGTTAAATCTGTTGTACTTATAGTACTTGGAGAAATATATATTATAAGTCAAATTTAATGGAATAATATAATAAAATATTTGGAAATTAAAGTCAAAATTAGAAAAATCTCTATAGGTAAGTGTTTCAGATTTTGATTCTGCAAAAGGATTTATAATTTAATAATCATTTTTCAATACCAACTAATAATCTATGCTACAGGATACAAAATGAAAGAACAGGGTGTAATCATAATTGGGAAAAAAGAAGAGAGGCAATATAAAATAATGCATTTCCAGTATATTTCCAAAGTGTTTACATTAATAACTAAACATTAAAAAAAATAAAGGTTATTGAAATAAGTATACAAAAGTGGCAAACAAAACATGATGGGAAGTGAAAACATACCCAAAATGCATACATTTACATATATATATGTCTAACCTGGCATTAAAATATAAAGCTACCACCAATTGCAAGATACAAAATTTTAAGTGTTACAGTTTTCCCATTCTTTGCACTGTTCAAGATTTAAGTTACTGCAAGGTTGTCAGTGACTAAGAAAGGACAAATTGCTTACATATCTAAAAGTGCTGATTTTATTTTTATGGCCATGACAGCTTGCTGGAGCGGAAATGGGTTTTGAAGTCAGGCAGGTTCAGGTGCGAATACTGGTTTTTATCATTTGATGCTGCTGTGATTTTCATAACAACCCAATGTGGTAAGAGTACAATGTCCTATGTGATTTCCTAGACTCTAATCTTTACAGGAGCTGACTGCCAGGCCTTTCCTCCCACAGAGCACTGAGTAAGTTTGAACCGCCAACCTGTGTGTTAGCAGACCCGGGCTCAACCATTACGACACCAAGACTCCTTTTCATCATTTAGTATGTATATTTAGGAATGTGCTTAACTTTTTGAAGCTCAGTTTTCTCATGAGTAAAATAAGGATATACTTATTTCATAGGATTCGCACAAAACGTACTTAGAAATCTTAGGAAACCCTCTAGAAGAGTGCCTTGCATGTGTACTTCTTATTACTGTAGCCATGTGGGTGTAAGTACATAATGTACTCATTGACAGTAATAGCCATATATTGGTAAAATTAGCTTTACATGAAAAGCATTTGACTTCCTCCATATTAAAACCCTCTGTTTTATTATACCAATTTTGACTCTCATAGCAAAACTTTCCTTATGGGGGATAAAACTTACCACAAAGCCAAGAGCGACCATGGGTTCACCTTCATTTAAATGATAGAGAAAAGATCCTCCGTAAGTATGCCTGTCCAAGGGCCAGCCAACCGTGTGGTCTACTCTTCCAGGTTTCCACTTCTTTTCATCAATAATCCATAACTGAAAAGAAAAGGCCTGGAGTATTACTTGAATGTTTTATGTCACCACAATACATAAAACATGTTAAAAGTTAGATTTCATTTGTGAAAATTACAAATTAAGAAACTCATCAGAAACACACCAAGGAGTGCTTTGAATATAACTGAATTATACTCAGTCAATGACGAGGTCAGAACAGAGTTCATTAGCGGTTTTACTAGGGTCGGGAGGTGAAGGAAGAAGGAAGAGGGAGTCATTGCTTCCTGGGCACTCAGATGCTGCTGAGAGCGATGGACATATTTAGAAACTGCGAGTGGTGATTGTGGTACATGATGAATGTAGTTAATGTTGCTGAACTGTTCATATAAAAATGTTGACATGGCAAATGCTTTATTAGAGATGTAGTCACCACAGTTTAAACAATAATTCCCTCCCCATACAATGGATCAGAAAGCAGATTTTGGCTTCATATCAGTTTTAAAAAACAGAAAGCAAAATGAAGTGGCTACTTCCAGGGAGTTAAAAAAAAAAAAAAGAATTCAAGGGTCTGAGTGGCCAATATTCAATATTTTTCAAAGAAGGGAGCAGATTTTTAATACAACCATCTCTCATCCCCACCTATTTGGCACCTTATGATCAAGATATTGGCTTTCATAAAACTAAACCAAACCTCCACAAAGGTGTTTTAAAACAAACATGTTACAGACAAAAAATCATTCTACATTAACTGTTTCTGAATTAACATATCAGTTAATCTTTTAAACAAAAAATGAAAGAGATACTTGGGTTCATTTTGAGAAGGAGAGTAATTAGTGGTTGAGATTATGGGGAACACAGGTACCAAAATTATGTTAGGACTAATAGAAGTAGGGTGATGCCAAGGTTATTCAGAAGACTACAGTTTGCCATTCGTAGTTGAGTGGGTATATGAGGGCTGGAGAAAGGCAAAGCATGAGAAACATCTGTTATGTAGTCTGTTACAAGTTCGTTTATCTAGAACAGCTATTTAAATTCTTTGAGCCTGCTTCCTCACCATAAAAACACAGGATTATAATATATATTAAAAACATAAAAGTCAGAAAACAACTCTTTAAGGCATTAATCAGATTCTGAAATTGGTGAGCCTTGCATATGATTTTAAGAAGGTATTGATTAAAAAAAGAAAAGAAGGTATCGATGACACAAGGAAAAGTTCTTTAGTTCTGGTAATGTTCTTTACCTTGTCCTGAGTGACAGCTGCATGGGTATATTTCACCTTTTAGAATTAACCAAATGGTAAATTAAACTTAAGAAACATTACTTTACAGTATGTATGTCATACATCAATAAAACAGCTTACTTTAACCTAGCTCTTCCCCCAAATGAAACAAACTGTTCATCCTGTTTTTCAGATGGGTATAATTTAAAGAATGTAAACAATTTCTATCTGGAAATCAAGATACCTCTTTTAGTCCAATTCCATAGGTTTGGGGATTACAATCAGCTCTCAAATCAAACGTCTTATATAGTTGCTTAGCTAGATGTCCATGGCAACCTTCTGCAAAAATTGTGACTTTGGCATGTAGTTCTAGTCCTCTTTCAAATGTGGTCTATAAAAGAAAAATCATTTTTGAAATATTGAATTGTAATATTTGACAATTAAAATATATTCATATTCAGGTAATTTTTAAATTGAAATGATTAAAGCACAGAAACAAATAAAACAAATTTTTACTATTGAATCCATTTTAGATGCACCCTCGTGGTGTAGTGGTTATGCGTTGGGCTGTGATACACATGGCTGGCAGTTCAAAAACAGCAGCAGCTCCGCAAGAGAAAGACTGGGTTTTCTACTCCTGTAAACAGTTACAGCCTTGGACACCCACAGGGTGGTCACTGTGAGACAGCACTGACTTGACAGCAGTGGAGTCAATCCATTCTGACTCATAATTACTCTATAGGACAGAGTAGTTAGATGATTTTCAAGATGATAAATTTTTATGGGAGCAGACTCATTTTTCCGTCAGGGAGTTGCTGGTGGGTTTGAACTACTGACTTTGTGGTTAGCATCCCAATGCTTAACCCACTGCATCACTGGTGCTGCTTAGGTATAGAGTCATTGTGTATGGGCGGGATCAGAAATAAAAGTAGGAGTACTGCTGTAAATGACTTTAATTTTTAATAATATAGTGTGTCATAATACAGGAGTAGGAGTACTGCTGTAAATGAATTTAATTTTTAATAATATACTGTGTCATAATTTTAATAATACACTGTGTCATAATTTTCCCTTCACATGCAGTTGGTCAGTTGGTCACAAGGGCAGTTCCACCCTGTGCTACAGGGCTGCTGAGTCAGATGATAGTGAGTCTGGGGTTATGTTTGTATAAATTTAAAACGTAAAATGTGCAAAAAAGAATTACCCAAAAACGAATATAAAGTGACATTTGAAACACAAATCACTAATAATAGCTTTCTTGGGATAATTCCTAAATTTCATGAATAACTAGCTCAATAGAGCTGTTTCCCAAAGTGGGCAATACCACCCACTAGGGGGCGCTGGCACCACTCTGTTGTTTGTTGTTGGATGCCCATTGTGTGTTCCTACTGGTGGAGACCCAAACCAATCTGTCTTGGAAGAAGGACTGCTAGAGTGCTTCTTGGAAGCAAGGATGGTGACCCTTTGTCTCATACACTTTGGACATGTTCTCAGGAGAGGCCAGTCCCTGGAGAAGGACATCATACTTGGGAAAGTGGACGGGCAGCAAAAAAGAAGAAACACCCTTGACAAGATGGACTGATATAGCGACTACGACAGTGGGCTCAGCATAGGATCCATTGTAAGGATGGAGCAGGAGCAGACAGTGTTTCGTTCTCTTGTGCACAAGGTCGCTATGAGTCGCTTGACGGCACCTAACGACAATAACACATCCTCTTAACACTAATGAGACCATACTAAACATATTCTTCAGCTACTTGGTTTTTCTTTCACTTTAATTTTATTTGTTTCTTACTCTTGACCTTATAGTAGAAAACAGAAATGTATTTGGGGGGG